TTCTCTGTGATTAGTTCTATATGGCAGAATGTAGAACAGAATGGGGAAAATATATGAGGAAAATAAAGAATGAAACACAGAAAGCAAAAAAAAAAGGAAGATAGAGGAGGCGATAACACTCTCATATGTTTAACGTCTGATTCAGTGAAATGAAAACATGAATTTTAAATCTTTTTATTTGTACTCTCTTTTCTCTTTAAATAATGACATGCATTCATATATTTATTATTGCAATATTTTTGTAAAGTTGATAATCTCAAATATTTAGCGTTGCACTAGGATAAATTTCATGGGGATTTTATAGATGTGGAACTCGTGAGGAACTTATTCAATCATTAATTTAAGAATTAAAATTCATCAAAAAATCCAAATAGGAAAACGAGTATTTTTTAGTTATTATTATTATTATTATTATTATTATTATTATTATTTCCTTTGATCTCTGGTGTGTACGCATTTCATTCCGGGTCCCAACCAGAGACCTAAGGTTAGAAATGGCTTGAAGACATTTTCCACTGACACAAAAAGAAAAAACATTACATAGATGAAGCCCTGCGTAATGTGTGGGCTGTACTCATGAGAAGATTTTTTTTTGTATTTCTTTAAGGCATGGGCTTCCAGGAATCCATTGAATTGCAGGGACTGCCATATCAATGAGGTGGCAATTTTTTATTTATTTATTTTTTTTTTTTGCGGTCACTAATGTAAAATAACCACAATTATAGTATATACTCGCGTATCTCGCGCCATTTGAAGACGTAATTTTCGAAGCTAAATTTTAGGGGGATAACGAGATATAAATATACTTCTGTAGAACCATATCTTTAGCCTCAACTTATCTCATATATCAGAAGTGATAGCGTATCTCGACGTGGTGTATGGTGACGATCAATACGACTGAGTAGTGAGTTCTATCCTCACTAGGTATCCCATACTTTCAGCTTTGTGCCACATCTAAGCCGGGCTTAGAAAACACACTATCAGAAGAGATATTAATTAAGACTTCAGTATTCTTATCCTTGTTTCAATTAATATTTTCCTGTTTCTAGAAGGCATCTTTCTTTATTACTATGAGCCAGTGAAAGTATACCATATATTTCGAGGAATGCTTCCATCAATGGAAACGAGGCTGGATCAAGTGTTTGACTTCAAAAATGGGAACTACTTCGAAGGAGATTAAATGCCGAATTGATATGTGTTGTAGTTTTCTTTTTATCGCACCAGATACTTTTTGATCAGACCTCGTAGAATTGATGGATTTATTTTTAATCCGACATTTTTTATTATTGCAAACATTATTTTTAGTGGATACCAGTGTTTGAAATAGACACCTCCCCACTATTTCAAACACTAGTGCGTCCAGGGGCAAACACTGGTATCTACTAAAAAAATAACGAATAATAAAAAAATATGTTTGGATAAAACCATTAAAAGAAATTGTTCAGAATGTTTTGCATAAAAAGAGAAAAATAGAGTGAGAAAATCTGAAGGAGGGTGTGCATTTTAAAAAGGAAATAGAACCATTGATGGCGATGTGGTGGAGCGGTTTCCATTCGTTTTTCCTACAAAGGTCACAGAGCGTCTGACATTGTTTTATTCAATCTGACGTCCGAAAAGACGTCATACATACTGTTTAAAAATAAATGCCTTGAGGATTTCAACACGAGTATTCACTAATTATAACATTTGGATAGTATATAGGAAGAATATATTTCTATGAATGTTTATATATATATATATGCCATATATATATATATATATATAATATATATATATACATATATGTCAAATAATGTATGGCGATATATATATATATATATATATATATGATGGGTAAATTTTCGTCATTTTATATCTTTCAGATTGCAACCGTTGTTTGTTTTTGATTTTGTTGAGGTACAGTAAAGAAAAACACTAAGAAAAAACTCCTTGTAACACCAAAAGCTGAAGTTTGAAAGCAAGGTTTTGCTTGGCATTCAACAAATTAAACAAGAAGACCGTCTAGAAAAAATACAGGAAATTACGAAGAGTGATTGAGGTGTTTGGCTGAAGCATTGATGGCGCGATATTATTATCCATTCATTTCTCACAGAGCGTCTGACTTAAGTCAAGGCCTACTTCAAGATGATTTTTACATATTTTTGGTCAAGCGGATAACAGGAAGAAAATTGGATTAACAGGATTTTGCCATACAAGCAGGAGAAATTTACAGCTGTCAAACAATGTATGCGATATATATATATATATATATATATATATATATATATATATATATATATGATCAATGAGGTGCAGTTGAGAAAACATTAACAAAACTCCTTGTAACACCAAAGCTGAACTGAAAGCAAGGTTTATGGCAGCATTCAACAAATTAAACAAGGAGACCGTCCAGAAAAAATATAGGAAAAAAGTCCCCGTGGCTGAACTAATGTCAATTTTATTGAATAAAGATCCTTTTTGTACTTCAAAATATTTTTTATTTTTGGAAAACATTATTAAATTATGATTATTTCATTTGTGCGTAAAAGAGTAAAATCAAGAACAAAATATATTATATATATATATATATATAGATATATATATATATATATATATATATATATATATATATATATATATATATATAGAAATTATATAAAAAAAGGTGCAATTAATTTCAAATTCATGAATTATTCATATAAAAAACAGGTTCGGGGTTTGATTTAATTATCTGAATTGTTCGTCGCGAATAATTCAAATAATATACAAAAATTAAAACCTGTTTATGAAATTTGTTTTTTGTTTGAAAAACATTTTATTATTGAAAACATTATTTTATTATTATTATAAATATATAAATAGTAAAAAACAAGAACAAAAATCTATTCCATATCTGAGGATGTATAACGAACAGAAATTATCTAAAAATAATAAGAACGAATGCAACAGAAATTTATAAAAAAGGATCTATGAGCTCCCCTTAAGGAATTGTATTCCTGATCAAACCGAATTCATAAATAATTACATCGGTTACACTTATGATACACCTATCCGACCACAGCTCTATTAGAAGCTATTTAAACACACACACAAACTAACCAGACTCCAACCGAAACATACTAATAGAAAATACATTCATAATAACCTCATCCACATATTAAAAAGATTAAAAATGATGAAAGCCTTAATAATAAAAAAAGAAAAAGCTAATACTTGATAATATTAACTACGAACACGGCCACGATATGCTAATTGTGTTCGGAAAATAAAACATCTCTATAAGTCTAAAAAAAAGTACCCAAAACCCATACACCCAATTAAAAAGTAAAAATAAAATCATCCTTCATAATGGTTGTAAGTTTAGCCGAAAGCGCTTGGAATTATAGCACATTTAGGCAGTTTCTACAGACTCTGTGTCCACAAGAAAAAATTAAATAAAAAGCTTAATCATAGTACCTTGCCTGCCGTCTTTAATGAAGCATGTATAAATGAAATATTACTGCCTAAATACACTATATATATATATATATATATATATATATATATATATATATATATATATATATATATATATATATATATATTCGAGAATAAAACAGCATTTACCCTCCAGGATTTTGAATCCGTCCTCCAGGAATAGCCAACTGACTAACAGTAACTGCTATTGTTGAACATTTAATAAATAGAAGGAAATGTGTGGAAAATTTTAGTGGTGACCGATTTATAATTTTATCTAGGTCCCACTCCACACTTCACCTCAAGGTTCTAGAGTCCTTGTATATCAGATCCCGTGAGCCTTCCCTTTGTAAACAGTCTGAGTCTCAATATTATTGGACTCTAGTTTCTTGAAATTCATTTTTTTCCCCATTCGATTACATTCGTTAATTAAAAATTAATTTACACGCTTTTTAAATTTCCAGAATAAATAAACTTGATAAGTCCTGGGACGAAACCGGTTGTTTTTATTTTAGATTTTGGTTTTAAAAAATGCCTTATAAATATTGTCTTTTCCTATCTATTATTAAATTCTGTACCATGAAAAACTTATATATATATATATATATATATATAAAATTCGCTTGAGGATGAAATGGAACTAATGTCTTTAATTTAATCACAAAATTAAATTCGGGGCTTTTAGTTTCCATTTTTGAAACATGGTTAGAACTGTGTAGCGAAAAAACATATTTTAAATCAATTAATTTATAATATATATATATATATATATATATATAACAGAGTGAGAGGGTACATAGTTACAGTGATGATGGAGTGTACATCAGGTATAGCCTGGACGGGTCTCTCTTTGACCTCCGTCGCCTCAGTCAAAACCAGGTTGGAAAAATTAATCCTGGTGGCCTTCTTTGTCGATGACTGTGCCTTTATGTCACACACGGAATCTGCCCTGCAGCTTTTTTGTCAAAATATTTGCTGAAAATTCTCGGCTGTTCGGTTTTACCAGCCCAGCTCACCCACAACAGACAGTCATACATCCATATCCATCGAAGAGAGTTGAAGGCCGTGGATGATTTCAAGTAACTCGGAAGTGTCATTTCGAATGATGGCTGCCTCGACAAAAAGTTCAACACCAGGACCTGCTGGGTGGATTGAGAGCTTGTACGCTGAATCACCAGAACATCCAAGGAGGGCCTGGAGAATCTGATACTCACAGGTCGAACAGAGGGAATGAGATACAAGGGAAAGCAACACATGACATACCTGGCGGGTTTAAGCAAGTGGATGACAACGTGGGCTGTGGGAGGCGGCAGAGGGAAGAAAATTATTGAGAGCTACAAAGGTTTAGAGGGAAGTTGAAAGCTATGATTGTCTATGTCTTGAAGAGTCATGAAAATACATTACCTTTATGCGCAGTCCTAAAATTCAAAGACCTTTTATAATCCTTTCAAACGTTCCAATTTACAGGCCACAGAAATAGAATGGTACTTGTAATGAGCGTTGTGGTTTTGTGTGCATGTGCGCGTGTGTGTGCGTGTGCACGGGCGTGTGCACAATTTGGTCGAATGAAATTCTTTTCTTCACTTTGTTTAGTCTTTGATTTTGAATCTATTAACCTTCCTTCTTCGCAAGGATTGCTTGTTTCCTCGTTCGGGTCCGCAAAACAAAGAAACAATTGTTCTCCTCTCAAGGCTCCAAATGTTCCTCGTCATCTAACGGCCTGAATATTTAGAAACGGTTATCAAAGTAGGACAAATCCCCCCCCGGCACTTACCTGACAGCCCACATTTATTGACCGATTTTTGTTTATTTATCTCTATCTAATAATATACATATATGTAATATATATATATATATATATATATATATATATATATATATATGTGTGTGTGTGTGTGTGTGTGTGTGTGTGTATATACATATATATATTTATATATTTAAGTAAAATAATAAATATGTCAAATATAAATATGTCAAATAAAACACATATATATATATATATAAAAATATATATATATATATATATATATATATATATATATATATATATATATATAATGTATATTTAGTATATCTAAATGTATACAGGTCAAATAACATATATATATATATATATATATATATATATATATATATATATATGTGTGTGTGTATGTGTGAAAAGTGTATATAAATATAAATAAAATATATATAATTATTTATATATTATATGCACGGTACTCATTAGAAAGCGCTCAATCTGTCTGACGATCGCTAAAGCGTGAAACTCAGGGTCACAAATTCACATCTATCCAACAAATATATATATATATATATATATATATATATATATATATATATATATGAATCAAAAAACATATATATATATTCCAAATAACAAATAGTTTAAATATATATGTATATGTCAAATAAAACACCCACACATACATATATATATATATATATCAATATATATATATATATATATATATATATATATATATATATATATATCAAATATGATATATTCTATTTTAGACTAACCCAACATTAAAGCATTGAATAATTGTTATAATCAAAGTTCGTCAAGTTTTTTGAATTCTCATATTCTTGTATTTTGATTAGTCATTCCAGCTCATGTAACAGCGTTTCCTCTACATTCAACATCATCACTTGATAAGACACCCGAAGTGTTGAAACAAAATCGCTATTTTTGTAGTGATTTTATAACATATTTATGCTATAATTTTCGAATAAATAATTATATATATATATATTACGATGATTACGTATACAGCCTTTATATATATATATATATATATATATATATGTACATATATAAAAATATATAAAATTTATATATATTTGATATATATATATATATATATATCTGTCATAACATATATAAGCCAAATAACATATAGTTATATACATGTCAACACGCATACAGATATATATATATGTATATCTCAAATAGTATATATATATATATAAATATATATATCAAATCTATATATATTTGCCATATTTAAATATATACATTTCAAATAACATATGCATATTTGTTTGAATATATATATATGTCAAATAACAAATAGTTAAATATATATATATATATATATATATATATATATATATATATATATATATATGAAATAAAACGCCCACACACGTACACACATATATACATGTACATGTCAAATAATACATATGTATTATGATGATTACGATTCCACTGTAAAAAATTATAACCATGAAATATTAGTGTTTGACCTTATATATATATATATATATATATATATATATATATGTGTGTGTGTGTGTGTGTGTGTCAAATAACAACTAGTTATATATATGTTTCAGATAACATATATATATATACATGTCAAATATCATATATATGTCAAATAAATCACACACACACACATATATACATACGAAATTATATATATATATATATATATATATATATATATATATAACGCTCAAATATAGTTAAGTAACGTCGAGCGTTTTATCGTTTTATGATTTCCTTTCTGTTGATGTCATGTATCTGACTCAAGTCAGAAAAATAATTACAAAAGACAATAGTACCCCAACATAGTTTTCATTTAACAAACCCACAGGAAGTTTAAAATACGTTACAACCCAGTAAGGATTGAACTCGCTACTCAGTGGTAAAGGGTCAACCAGAGAAGCTCGTTAAAGCATTACCCCACCCTGCAGCGTCCTGAATCAGCCATAGTGGCTTCAAGCCACTGACATGACCTGATCAGTAATAAAAATAAAACTAGTCTCGTCGTCATCCCGTCTGTGAGTCGGCCATTTTTTCCCAGACGCCTTTGTACATTCAAACAATAACCACGACCAACTGTCTGTTTCTTGACAACAATCTTTCTTCCATCCATTTCCCCCCTACTTTTCGTTTTCTGTTTTTCATGTTTCTTTTTTCTGATATTTTTTCCTTCTTTTTTCTTTTTCTCTTTCCCACTCTTCCTCACTTTCTCATTTGACTTTCCCACTTTTTGACAAAGCCGTTATGGCAAAGTTGCGAAACCAAAAATGGCAGCCGACATACACTACAGACAAAAACCCTGCATTTCTTAAAAAATCGAATACTTAGAATGATATATTTTTGTATTTTTTTTTTAATTTAAAAGATAAAATGTCAATGACGACCGTTAATTTACTTTTTTGAGACTAATATAAACATTTAACTATAAAGATATCATACAACATAATCATATTTTGATTTTGTCAATGAAAATCCCACCTGCAATTATTGCTTTACAAATTCTTATCATTATTTCCAACACTTTTTGAAAAAGGTAAATGGCAAGTATTCTTAAAACACCGAAAAAGTTCACTCTCACTCGCTGGGTATTCTCTTCAAAGTCTAATATCCGATTCATTCCATACTAATTCAGTGAGAAGAAATCATGAGATTATAAAAAATTATGACACCTTGTGTGTGTGTGTGTGTGCTTTAATCATTTCCCCCTGAGCAAGATCATAAAGCGACTTAGACGCATGGAGTTACGACTATAAGATATGATGAGAAAAATAAATATTATCTAGGAGCGAAAAGAACAGGACTTAAGAGTACAAAATATAATGACTGACATTGATTTAAATTTTACTGAGAAGCAAGAAACTGGAAGACAGTTCCACAATTAAAAATGCGAGAGAAGAAACTATTAGCATAGAACTTACGGTTATATCTAGCCAGTTCAACTGTAAAATGATAAGACGAGTGTTGCACTTAAATCCATAAAGAAAGGTTTCTCAGACAAATTGACATGAAAATATTTATAGAAAAAGCAAGGGAAGTTACATTACGTCGGTGGAAAAGTAACTAAAGCCGATATGCCAGGCCGAGCAATAATATTCCAGATTCTTGTTGGGATGTTGTCAAGAATCTCTAAATATATAGTTGAATGAATGGATGAATGGTAGAAAATGTGTCTAGCATTCCACAATGAACAAACATTCCTAGCAGCAGAACTAGCAATTGATTCTTTCCACTTCATAAAGTATAAGATATTCTGGATTATATATATATATATATATATATATATATATATATATATATATATATATATAAATATAATATATATATATATATATATATATATATATATATATATATATATATAAAAAAACAATATAATATATATATATATATATATATATATATATATATATATATATGTATAAAAACAAGCAATATAATTTGACCCAAATAAATAAACAAACGACTTCGGTAAAATAACCGCCATAATAGAATACCCACAATGCACCACTAACCCGTATATATATAAATAGCCGAGAAAAAATAACAGCATATGTGGCCTGACGATTGCATATAGCATGGAACAGACTGTCGCCTCTAAGTTTTGACTTCTATGTTCACTTTTATATTTACACGCCTCTATCTCTGATATTGAGCACTTTATTCCATAAATATAGCATACCTTAAGACTATATTTCTTTATATATATATATATATATATATATATATATATTGATTATATATAATCTTTCCACTTCGTATCTACAGAAAATGAGTCTCTCTCCTGAAGTTTAGCATCAACCATGCTGATAGCAAACAAAATTCGTTCTTTTAGACACACACACACACACACACACACACACACACACACACACACACACAAACACAAACATATATATATATATATATAATGGAATCTCCAGTCGGTTTCGACGTATGAGGATCTGACAACATAATCAATTGATTTAATTCTGAAATTTTGTGTGATAATCTTAAGCAGCACTTAAAACCCGCTAGTGATTACCAAAGGAGGCCTCATATGGAGCAATAATGAGGATTGTGCAATGAGATCACTGTTAGAATGGCTGATCTTTTAGATCTTGCTCTCGCTTCTTGAACCACGCTCTGCCGTAGAATTACCTGTCACCTTTTTGATCTTAGTTCTATTAAACAGTATTTCTCAGAAAAACATAGCCATGTACATAATATTAGGCAGATATTAGTTGATGACACAACAACACTCGCGCATACACACAGTAAACGATATTGAAGGATACAAAATTAAAACAAAGCTACCCAGACTCAAAAAAATTACATTCCAAACTAGTCACAACATATTATAATGCATCTAGATATCCGTTTCTTTTGTTAATATTTTATTTTTCTCGCGTGGTACGACGTCATAGAACTACATCAGGAATTTACGACCTGCGTCTGCTTTTCCGCGACCGTTAACGTCGCGTCGCAATCTTCTATAACAACATAACAAAATATCATCTTTGATGGTGAATATCTTTGTTTGAATGTTTATATAACCACACTGAAGATGACACACGTGAGCCGAAAGCTTCGATCAAGAAACAGTATAATAAAAAATATATGCAAATGTTGTACAATTGTTGTCTTTATATTATCCCGAAATTAAAGCAACCATACGAAGTTCAGAATGTTTCATGATCAAATATAATATGCATTCGTTGTCGGTTATATTTACAGCAGATATATATATATATATATATATATATATATATATATATATATATATATATATATATATATATATATATATATATGGTGCAAAAAATCCTAGCTACCTGCCGAGACCTCACGGGTTGTACAGACGGGTACAATATTTCTATCCTTTCTAGTATTAACCTGCTTTGCAAGTTCAATGAACAATGCATTGAGTACTGTTTTTATATATACGTCTTTGGCACGGTAATTTCAAGGCCTATTTTACATAGCTTTTGTATATATATATATATATATATATATATATATATATAGGATATGTGTGTGCGTGTGTGTGTGTGCGTGTGTGTATGCGTGTGTGTGTGTGCGTGTGTGAAACGAATGCACGGCCGCAATTTTCGATGGATTACACCAAAATTTACATGCACATGCTCCAAGTTAGCGGGAAGGCGAAACCGACTTTGCATTTTCCAACTCCCATCGATAGTGGAAATAATCGATTTTTTCATGCTTCTACGGCAGTTTTCATGTAGTTTGTGGCCATTTTGTGCTGACCAGAGTAGTATTAAGTATGGGAAGCCGTTGGTATAAACCAGTGGCTTCTGTTACCAATTATAGGCATTTAATAATATTTGTAGATATTTCGTAGTTTATTTTGTTCAGGTTAGGTTTCAACTGTTTTATGTATATAGCGTCAAGAAGTTTTTGTTTTTAGTTTTTGTTTTTTGGAATTGTTACGCGGCCAGGCTTGTTGTTTAAAAAAGTAGAGTTATCATTCAACAAGGTTTTTTCTGGAATGGTGTGACCCAATATTATATATATATATATATATATATATATATATATATATATATATATATATATAACGTTGTTAGCAAATATTAAATAAATTTACCGGCCTGTAAATGTTATTTAATACTGTTTATCAGAAACAGAGCATTTGCTTAAAGGCTTGTTGTTTTAAATGCCTTAAAAATCGCATTAGAGTTATCATTCAAATGTGTTTAATATATTGAAATTAATTTGTCATCTTTGATAATCGTGAAAGTTTAGAGATTTAAACATGTATTGTGGTGTGACTGTTTATCAGACAATATGAAAACATAAAATAAATAGACAAAACTTTATATATATATATATATATATATATATATATATATATATATATATATATATATATATATATATATATAGATATTAACATTGCATTTATTTTTTTCCAGAAATGGACAAGGTCCGAAAAACGAGAATTTATTTATTAAAGACATTTTTTATGCTTAACGTTGTTATTTTATAGATAGGACCAATTGCTGTATTTCAAGAAAATCAAGGGTGTTTATGATACATGGAAATGCCAGTATAAATAACATTTACTTCAGGAGTGCTTTCCACCAACTTTAAATGTTAAAATGCAATTTAATGTTTACGATAAAAACACCCTTGATAGCCCTAGAATCGAAGCCGGAGTTCGAATTCCAGAATCCATTACATTCATTTCAGCTATTTGACAAGATTACCTCCAGCTATGGAACTACAGACTGGGTTCAATCAAAGTCAAATTAGAGGAGGGTGAATGGAGTTCACTGATCTGGCAACCCATTTAGTCCGATAAAACACCCTTGATGTTGATGTGTCTTATGTTGAGTTCAATCTCGGCTGAGGCCGCAAGATGTTGATGTGTCTTAGTGGCTTTACTGCCTTGCCTATGGAATTCCTTTCCGGATTTATGCTTTTCAGCTAACTTTAATCTTCAAATATTTAAATACAATGTCGATTGCTATCTACTGTCCTCCTGATTACTCTTTTTTCTTCCCGATCATTATTAATGTTTCTGTTCCTAATTTTTCCACACTCTGTAATACCTTGCGTTTTAATGGCTTTACTGCTTTGTTTGGGGTGTACTGATTAAAAAATAGTGTCCTTAATATATCATATTTATAAAAGCAATTATAATCTTTTCTATTTTAATAATGTGTTAGTTTTATTGCATTAATTATTTTACGAGTCTGAGCAAAATTTCGGTACATTGTGTTTTTGTTTGACAAAAACAAATTGATTTAAATTCTCCAAGTTTTCCTGATTTTAACCAAGATAAATATAAGAGGATGGAATTTTAATAAAATTAAGGAAAGTGGGGAGTAACTGATGCAAAATAAACGTAGGTTTTCTTTAAAAAAATATTCTAACATAATTTAATTCATTTTTGAATACTTTTGAAAATTTATTTAAAAGCCTATAATTATTTTTATGTCTTTTCCAATTATAATCTTTGGCCCACCCAGTAACAAACACACAAAAAAACAACAACAAAAAAAAAAAACGATATTTTTAACAAAAATTATCAACTTCCTAGAAAGGATTAAAATATTTAAAACAATAATCAAAAAATATCTTGGTCTTTCCTCTTAATAACAATAAACTTTTGATGATAAAGTTTGAGATCTTCTTCTTCTTCCGTCTTCTTCTTCTTCTTCTTCTTCTTCTTCTTCTTCTGTCTTCTTCTCCTTCCGTCTTCTTCTTCTTCTTCTTCCGTCTTCTTTTCCTCCTCCTCTTCTTCCTCCTGCTCCTTTTTCTTCTTCGTCTTCTTCTTCCGTATTCTTCT